TCAATTTCACAGTTGGCTTAGTAGAAAAAACACAGCAAATGTAAATAAAAATAATTGATACGATGTAACAATTATCAATATGATTCTACCATAGGGATTTACAAACTGAATTAATCGACCTTGCATCGGTAGCCTAGTGGTAGGGTGTTCGCTTCGTGATTAGGAGGCCCGGGTTCGATCGATTCTCGTTCGCCGCGCCACGTTAAACCTTAGTCGTAAACATAGGTAGTGACTGTTCCTTCGCCAAGTACCGGTGTAAAGACGAATAATGACCCCCGTAGAATAATGACCGTGGGTCATTTTTCGACGTCGAAAAATGACTCCCGGTCATTATTCGACATCGAAAAATGACCCCCGGTCATTATTCGACGTCGAAAAATGACCCTTTTGCCTGTAGAAAAAGTGGCATCACCCTTATAATCTGCATACCCTACGTGAAGAAAAATGACCCCCGTAGAATTATGACCCCTGGTAGATTTATTAGGAATAAATTATTTGGGATTAAAAAAAAAGAAATTAAGAATTAATAAATCAAGAGGGCCCTGGATCAAAATGCTCACCTGAGGTAAATTGAAGACATCGTGATGACGGTCTCATTAAATCTTTCAAATGTTCTTATACATTGACAACTTTAATCGCCATCAATGTACACTATGTGAAAATGCTTTCATTCTGGTTTGACTTATGTATCATTGTTAAAACAAATCTTTTTATTTTCACTTATACTACCCAGAGAGATAGAGAGAGACAGAGAATTGTTTAGAATGTCTATTTACCGGTTGAACAGTTGCGCCCGAATGCCTTTTTTAAACCAATGATTTAAATAATGTACATGCATGTAATTTTCGGACGTATTTCAAAAGTGCCTTACAATTTAAATTAGAAGAATTGCTTGGTGCTTAAGAGACTTCTAAAGTCATCCCAGCTGTATATTGTCCATAAACGTTTATAATCAGTAAAATATCGAAATATGAAACAAATGATAAAAAGGAGCAAGACTAGAATGTACATGTATGCTATTGCAAGCAATAGTATGAGGGGCCGCTTCGCCATTTAAAGCCATTTAGTGATATCACCTATTCAGTTGGTGATATCACCTATTCGAATTCGTGATATCACCTATTCAGCTTTTGAATTGGTGATATTCCCTATATTTGAATAGGTGAAATCATCTATTCAAAATAAGTATGAAATAACAACTACTCCAAAGACTAAAGTGCACAAATTTACTCTATACAGGATGTAAAAATTCAGTCTCTTTTTCATACAGATAATTATAACGGAGAGAACCTATCAATGAATAAAGCAAAAACTGACTGCAAGTAAAATTTATTTACCATCAAAGGGATTGAAAACAAATGGTGTTTTAAATGTCATGGACTATAACACAAGGGAAAGGGCAGCCCGAATTTGTTTAGGGTCAATAGAAATCTAGATTTTCATGCACAAACGAGGTTGTTTTATGGTCTTTTTTGAGTAAATATACATTGTAACTTAAAAACAGTGCCCCTCTCTTCTTTGTACCAAAAAAAAATCTTATAGTTTAATTATTTGTATAGTAGGGTTTATGGCTAAATTAAGTAAAGAAAATCCGTAGAAACTTTAACATTTTTAAAATGTTTGCGCAAGAGTAATGAAATCAATTTCATCAATTTTGAATCATTGCTAAGGTATTTAGATTGCTTTTTGATAGCCTTTTGCAAGTTCATCCTTTACTCTTTAATTTATTGAAGCTAGTTTGTCTTCAGGAAGAGATCATTCATGATTAATGTGATTAGATATGCAAATAGGTGATATCACCAATTCAAAAAAAAAAATGGTATCATCAATTGGAATAGGTGATATTACCTATTCAATTCAAATAGGTTATATTATCTATTCCGATTTGTGATATCACCTATTCATTTCCATTAGGTAATATCACGTATTCGAAAAGGTGATATCACCTATTTATCTATTCGAATAAGTGATATAACCTATTCAAATAGGTGATATCATCTATTTTATTTGAATGAGTGATATCACCTTTTCAAACAGGTGATATCACCTATACGAATAGGTGATATCACTAAATGGCAATAAATACATATTGCGGTGGTCAGTTTTAAAAATCAAAATATTTAATGAACATCTACAGATGCTGATCGTCGTTTTTGAAAAGTTTCATCAAGTTAATCCAAGTCATGTCCGAGAAAATGTTCGGACAAAATAATAGGTCTAGGGATAACAATATATCGTCCTGGCTTACCTTTAATCAATAGCAACTGTGACGTATCTATTGTGCAATTTTAATTTTGAGTTGAGAACACAGTAGGTCTAATATAAAAGAAACAAATGTAATGTTTTTTAACAAATTTTAATTGCGTGTTCGTCTATTTTGAATCAGGAAAACGTAAGAGAATTACCCGTAGATATCCAAACCTTAGCATCAATTATCTATTCTGAACTTTGTATCATCTGTTGGAATGGGGGTCATTTTTCAACGGGGGTCAATTTCTTACAGGTTGCACATGAAGAAAACTGACCCCTAGGGCTCTTTTTCTACAAAAAATGAAATTTTTCTACGGCTAGGGAGTCATTTTTCGATGACCCCCCGGTCATTTTTCTACGGGGGTCATTATTCGTCTTTACACCGGCACTAGAAGTGAAAGTCATGGGTCTATAGAAGTTTTTTTTCCTCCAATTGTAATTCAAACTACATGTACATAATATTGATTAGTGAGTATCTTTCAAGGTTTTTGGGGTTTAATTATTTAAAATAGCTGTCATAAAACTAAGCATGGCTTTATTTCTAAAAAAAAATGCAAATCTCTAGGAAAGTATTTGCTGTATACTTCTTTCAACTTTCAAATCCAATATTACACCGCTGGGGTCGAGGAGACATTCTTATGCTATGGCTTTCAATGGCAGTGTTTCTTGTATTGTTTTGTTGCTGTTTTTTTAGCTCACCTGAGCTGAAGGCTCAAGTGAGCTTTTCTGATCGAAATTTGTCCGTTTTCTGTCGTCGTTGTTGTCGTTGTCGTAAACATTTCACAATTTCATCTTCTTCTCCAGAACTGCTGTGCCAATTTCAACCAAACTTGGCACAAAGTATCCTTGGGTAAAGGGGATTCAAGGTAGTTCAAATGAAGGGCCACGCCCTCTTCCAAGGGGAGATAGTTACAAATTAATGAAAAACTAATGACATCTTTTAAAAATCTTCTTCTCAATAACTACTGTGCCAGGAAAGATGAAACTCATGTGGAATCATCCTCAGGTAGTGTAAATTTAATTTTGTTCAAATCATGATTCCCGGAGGTAGGGTGGGGCCACAATCTTCTTCTCAATAACTACTGTGCCAGGAAAGATGAAACTCATGTGGAATCATCCTCAGGTAGTGTAAATTTAATTTTGTTCAAATCATGATTCCCGGAGGTAGGGTGGGGCCACAATAGACGATCAAAGTTTTACATAGGAATATATAGGAAAAATCTTTAAAAATCTTCCTTTCAAGAACAGCAAAGCCATGATTGGTCATATTTATATGGAAGCATCCTAAATTGGTTTAGATTCAGGTTTGTTCAAATCATGACCCCCTGGGGGTAAGTTGGGGCCATAATGGACAATCAAAGTTTTACATAGGTGTATATAGGAAAAAAATACTCTTCAGGGGGTACCCGTGTACGAAGTTTGATGTCTGTCGAGCAAAGAGTTCTTACGATATAGAGTGGTTTATACCTTCCTATGTCCAGTTTGACCTTTGACCTTGTGACCACAAAATGTACAGTGGTCATTATTGAACCCAGTGTACCAAGTTTGATGTCTGTAAATCAATGGTTCCCAAGATATTGAATGGACGATATCTTCCTATGTCTAATGTAGTTTAATACTTGACCTTTGACATTTTGACATCAAAATTAATAGGGGTCATCTACTCTTACGGGGTACCAGGGAAGTAAGTTTGATGTCTGTTCAAGCAAAGGGTTCTTAAGATATTGAGCGGACAAAACTACAGACATTCCGACCGACCGACATTCCAGCCTTACGAAGGTGAAAAGCAATACATGTATGCTCTCTTTTTCAAGGGGAGTATAATAACTGTGGATATATATAGTGGTACTATCAATTCATCATGAAGTGGTGTACTCATCTTTTGTGAATAGTATGCTGAAACGCCTACCTTGCAATGATGAAAAGGGTGAAGAGAACCGAACAGTGATCAGTGTCTTAAATCCTCTAAACAATACGAATTAAGAATAGGGCAAAATCAGCCCTAGAAACACCAGAGGTGTGATCAGGTGCCTAAAAGGAGTAATCATCTCCTGTTTATTGCTTGAAAGAAAATCATTATGGAAATAAATCATCCTCTGAGTCGAGAGTCACAAACAATTATGTACATTTAAGCATCAATACTTCAATGCACAACAAGGAAATTACAATAGAACAGTATATATGTATTACATGTATAAAAGAAAGAAAGTACCTTTGTATGCTATATGTAATTTCTGAAAAAAGAAACAACTCTCTCTCTCTCTGTAAACATTTCTGTACATAAAGAAATTTAAGTAAACTACAGATGTATATGTATAAAGAAAATATAAAGTACACACAAAATTTCTCTCTTCAAATTTACAGTGAACGTGGCAAAAACTATGCACGCTCACTTTCGATTCCCGCATACATTTTGCACCAATTTTATTTAATATAAATGGCAATTTGGCCATTAAAACTTGTTTGAATGCAAAGAAGAATTCATCTAAGAAATAAACAACGATTATTCAGAGAGCATGGCGTTATGAATAGCAATTGCTCTGCTGGCATATTCCATGATGCGCGGTAGCGCTTCATGGAAAATATGTCAGAAGAGCAATTGCTATTCATAACGCCATGCTCTCTGAATAATCGTTGTTTATTACTTATATTTGCATTCTGTGATGTTGTCAAAAATATCAGAGGAACTCCTAGCCTGCATGATGCCACGGATGCTTGTCGTCAGTGAAAAAAAACATAAATATAAAATCTTTAGACCTGATTAATCCACTTTATTTCAATAAATCACATACAATATATATTGTATTTGCTTCTTAACCACAGTTATCTGCATACAAACCGTGTCGTCTTTAGTTTCTCGTAAATTTTTGCTTTGATGCAGTTGTGACGTCATCGTTAAAATTTATTTAAACTCTCTGAGAAAAATTATTAATAACACAATTATGAAAAAAGAGTATGTTTTGGTATTGATTTAAACTTAAGATTTTTTTTCTTTTGTTTCTTAAGTTTTTAAAATTCATTTTAAGAGTTGATATCGTTCTTCAAATAGATACACTATTACAAAAAATTCCCTTTGTCTGAGCGTAAAACACCCTACCGTGAAGTGTTATCGTTCTTTGTAATTATGTGCGTAAAAATGAACAGATGAATTAAAGAGATAGAGCTCTGTTTAATTTATAAAGTTTCATTATACAATTAAATATATTGACCTAAATTAATAAAAAAAAATACACCTCAATCAGCAATTAAAATCATTTTAAAATGAGGATTTCATTAAAACCTAAGATTTATTCCTTTTGCATAAATTTCATATATATACCACTGAATGCTGAAAATATTTAGAGTAGCTTGTACTGTGCGAGTGTGAAAAACGAACTACACTCAAAGCAGAAGAAGTTGCGTTCAAAGTGCTATGAATGCAACTGGTAAGTACATTTTTATTTGTAATTTCAGTTGAAATTTGCTCTAAAATGGCCATTTTTACATTCATTTTTTTGTCTGTAAACATATTTTCTTCCATGAAACAAGATATGCTTTTGTATGAATTTGTGAAACAACATTTCATAATCCTGTAAAAAGGATTTTTTGTTTCACGGGGGTGGGGGTGGGGGTAAAAATATATTTCCGTTTTCCTTTGATTTCTTTTGTGAAAAACACAGGTTTTATCAAAATTTTACATTATCTCTCTTTGTTTTCCCAAATAATTTATTTTTTATGAAAATTTTATCCAACATGTGGGTGGCTGTGCTCTTGACTTAAGATGCCGGATCTTTTCATTCTTGTATTTTCTTCATCCTCCATAAATTTCAAAAACCTTTTTATTTCTTCAACTTCAGATATATGTTTGGCAAAACATCTTCTTTCTTTTTCATCGAGCCTTTCTTTCAATTTACGTTTAAGTCTTTTGCATCTGTTGGAAGGATCACTAAGATCGATTTTAAGAGGTTTAGCAATGTGTTCATTCTTTTTGTCAGTACTTAGTATTGACTCTTCAAGTGCACCGTACTTCCAAACGAAAATGTTCTTTTCTCTTAAATGGTCAGAAAGTTCCTGAAACCCCTCCTCAAGAAAATCCGATTCTTTTTTCCAGACATATTTTTTAGCTAACAATTCGATGACTTTCTCCTCCATTCCTAGGAAACATTCTACAACCCACTCCGAAAATATTTGATCTTCACTATCTAGAATAACTGGTAGATATTTAATTGAAACAAATTTATCACGATCCAGTAAACACGAGCAAGGGAGATTAATATACTTGCAAAATCTGAGGACGTCTTTGGCGTTTTGGCACCCACCAATTGGAATTATTTGATAAGTAGTTATATCTGATTTCTCCTTAATACCAATGTCTTTCTGTCGACTTTCACGCAGGTGTGTGAAGAGAGCTTGCACAACATCCCTATCAGTTGGACCTTCAACTAACAAAACTTTGGTTGCAAATAAAAGGGTTCGAAGAGTTTCAACATCGGATACTTTAGAAAGCTCTCTCTGAAGTCCTACATTTCTAATGTTACATTCGTAATTCGAGTCTTTAGATTCAGTTCGAAAGAAAACATGAGTGTTATTGATTGTACTAGTATCGATGAAATACGGACTATGTGTCGAAACGATGATAGTTTTCTCCAATCCCTCTTGATATAGGACTGTTCTTAATCGCTCAATCATCTGAGCGTGCATTCCTCTACACGGCTCCTCCAAAGTAAGTGTTTTAATGTTTTTGTGTGAGAGAAGCAGAGATACCTGTTTAGCTTCCAATATCCCCTCAGAAGTTTTTAACAACGGGAAGGGACGAAACCCACCATGTTGAACGCGAATTTTATCTTCTTCATTACTTAGTATAAAAGTGAATTTCTGAGGATAAGTTAAATAATCAAAGATATCGGTTTCTTTATCTGTATCAATTGATTCAGATGATAAAAGTTCGGAAATTATTTCTGCCTGTTCACAAGCCATCTTATAATTCCTAACCTTATCTCCAATTTTGTTACTTCTTGTCCACTGTACCATTCCAATTCCTCTAAGAGGCATTGTTGCCACGTATGCGTTTTCTAAATCCTTCCAATCTACTTCACCTTCCTTCTTTTCTATGATATTCTGTTTCGATTGTATTATTTTTAAAATATGCTTTACGTACGTGGATTCTTTTTTCTGCTTTTGAAAAAGATATTTCATTTCATCTTTATCTTCTGGTTCTACCAATATTCGAAAACTTTCATTTGGCGTTGAATCACTGGATTCAAAAGAATTACAACGAAGGATTTTTCCACGTTCGGAAGTGTAAATCAATATTTTGTGAAATTTGCATGGTACACATTCGTTTCCCTCCTTTATGACACCAGAAATGACCTCTTTAGAATGCAAGTCGAATTTGCAGAACACATATGCCACTTTATTTTCATTAAAGGATCTAGTTACGGTTACATTGATTTCGTTCGTCATGCATCGTCTAATCAATTCTAAAACTGTGCTTTTGCCGCAGAAATTTGCTCCAACAAAACAGGCAAGTTTACTCTTATTTTCTGTGCCATGAGGTTGTTCTTTTGCAGATTTCACTTCATCTTGAAATGTGCCTTTTATTTTTTTCTCCTGTATATCATGAGGTATTCCTTGTGCAGTTTCCTGTATATCATGGGATGTTTCAATTTCGGTTTTCTGTTTATCAATAGGTATTCCTTGTGCAGTTTCCTGTGTATCATGGAATGTATCAATTTCGGTTTCCTGTTTATCATGAGGCATTCCTTGTGCAATTTCTTGTGTGTCATAAGATTTTTCCTTGGCAGTTGTCTCCGTGTCATCAGATTTAACTTTTGATATTTCCTCTGTATCATCAGAAATTCCTTCTGCAGTTTTCTTTTTATCATCTGGTGTTTCTTTGGCAGATTTCTTTTTCTTTTTATCATCAGATTTTCTTGTTGCAGTTTCCAAATTTATCACTTGCTTCTCTTTGAAATGTACAAAATTTTCGAAAGCAATAACCTTTAGCATCTGAAAGATAAATTGTACATATCCTTGATTAAGGAGAAATGTCTAAATTTGGGATCGTTTAGCTCATTGATTGTTTTTTTATCTGATGTTTTGAATCATAAAAAATGTAATTATCTTTTAAATAACAATTACAGATGATATTTATCTTAGTACAGAGTTGTATATATATATAGGTATTGGTCTTTATGACCAAGCACAATATAACTACACTTTGTGAATCATTTGAAATGACAAATAAAAAAAGGAATCGAATAAAATTTTTAAAATTATCATTTTAGCGGCTTTTAATATTGAAGTATAGCAAGTTATAATCATTTTTACTCTCATTATTGTTTTTCCTGACTTGTGTATACATTTAGTTACAGATACAGATTATGAATATCAAAGTACTGAATCAAGCTTACATATTCATTTGATAGCATACAACATACATGTACGTCCACGATAGATGCATAGATTTACTTTCATAATGCATTTTTATGCGCCCATATTCTCCATTTTTCAATAACCAAAGCAATATTTGCAATAAGTGAAATTGATTCATTTTTCATATACAGGTATTTTTTATGTAGGGTGAATTCACCATGCATCGGACACCCTCGCACTTCAACAAGTTCTAGCGATATCGCTACCAACCGAATATTATCAAAATGGAACTTAACATGTAGTATGTGGTTAAAATATAAATTTTTTGACACAATCGTGTGCTATTTATAGAGAAAATATCATTAAAACCCGATTTTTTTTATTAAAAAATTAAACTTCTGACTGTTTCGATCCACAAATGTGAAGAGATTTTAGGTGCATCACAATTGCTTTACAATGCAAGTAATATGGCAACTCGCGCCTTTGTCTCGTGGGTTATCATCATCTAGTTTTAAGAAATAAATTGAGTCCACTTCTAGTCGTCATATATCGATATCTTGTATTTTCACTTAAAATTTAGAGTTTTTATTTTCTATTTCCGTAAAAAATAGCTGTCATTTGGGTTTTATATGAAAACGGAAGTGATCACCCATGCATCGGAAAGTGTCCGATGCATGGTTAATTTGTGTCCGATGTACGGTGAAATAAACATACTAGTTAAAAACAACTCTAAGAAATATTATACAAACATTGAAGTAAAATTTATGAAAATTTCTGAAAAATTATCAATTATTGATAAATTTTACCTAGGTCCGATCCGTTCCGTTGACGTCTATGTAAAAGAACGACAACTCTAAAAATTGCAAAATCGTAAATTTCTGGTTACTCCCCTTTAATGATGCAAAATATGACGTAATTTCAAGGCCATTCTTGTGGTATTTTTATCACAACATGAAAATAAAAATCGGCATCATTAAAAAGTTTAAATCTTCACCTTTAAGAAAGAAACAAGTAAAAACACGAGAAGACTCGGGTTCAATGAAAGTTTATTGCTTCAAGTTGTCTGAAGCAAGGTATGTGTCCGATGCATGGTTAACTCACCCTATATACATATGTTAGTCTTATGATAACGTCTTTGAATTTTGTCTTTAAAATTTAAGACATAATTTGTTTCTCTTCACCAGTTAATTGGAGCTTATTGGAACTGATTCTGATGAAATCTGAATTTTACTATGTTCAACGTCTGTGTCTTTTGTTCTTACAATAATGTTATGAGAATGACATTATTATATACTAGGGATGGCAATTTGTAACCGGTTAACCGATTAATCGGTCGCAACGATGGTAATCGGTTAGGAAATCTCTAATCGGTTAGTCGGAAAAAATGAAAATATGTGTAAATATCCTTAAAATTCAATTTGCAAATTAAAAAAAAAAATATGAATGTTGATAAGTTATAACGTTTTTTTTTTTGTACATGTATTTAGATATAATTTATTAGGACTCTTCGGACGGAGGTGTTCGGGTAATTGGTCAATTTGTGAAGTGCTAATTGCTGTTTAAACATCATGCCGTTAGATGTACCCAGCTTGTCCTCTGTTTCTTTAATGATAATAATTAAATCACCGTTGAGTATTGTGAATTGATTACTTTGTGTATCTTTAGCAGTTATATATTTTTATGCAAACATTGTAAATTAAGTAATAGTTTAAAAAGGTTTGTTCCTGAACTTTTGAGCAGATTTTTGTCTTGACCTCTATTTAAAAAAAAAATCTGCGTAATATGTTTTAGTTCATATAACAAATTTGGATTCTACAATGCAAAATAAACTATATTCATTTAAAACCCCATAATTTAATTGAGCTATGCGTGTAGATTCTAAAAATATGTTTGATAAAAAAAAAATTCCCAATACTTTTGAAAGCAGGATCCAACCTCCTTAAACTTTGTTTCTGTTTATGGTGACAATGCAGAATGACCGTATGTAATGTTTGGGGGTCGTCAGAAAGATATCTATGTCCTTGGTGCATGTATCTCATGTATGTTTTATGGTTTTCCTTTAGAAATTGAATCAAAATACGTAAAATAAACAGATCAAGCATAAACAGAATATTACTAATGCCGTTTTTCTTTTCCTTTTTTATTTATATATTAATTTATTGGGAGGGGATATGAATAGAATTATTTTTTTTAACAAAAATGTCCGGAAAAGAGCATTTTGTTACGATTAACCGGTTAATCGATCGGAACGTCTTACGGTTAACCGATTGGCAATTCTGTATTCGATTGCCATCCCTATTATATACTAAAACTCTCCCAAAATAATGATTATATTCCTTTCATGATCTATGAATCTCTTTTTTCTCCATAGTATAATTTATAAAGACTATTTCCCCCCCAAATTTTCTTAATTAAAAAAAAGAATAAAAAAATTTAGTTTAGCTGTAAAAAAAAAATAAGCAAGCAAATTATTAAGTGGTATAATTGCCGTCCTTGATTAAAACCGGGGATGGTAAGGGGAATAACTCTGTAAAGAAGCATATTTGGCATGTTTGGCGTATTGTGCTCACATAAACAAAATTACATCGAGTTTTGTATACTTTGAAAGCAAAGCTAAAAAAATAAACAGATTACAAAAAAAAAAAAAATTAATAAAAAGCGACCTTAGACTAAGATTTTTTGGGGGTCTGAGCTTTCAGTAATTCTGGATTTTATTTGCATTTCGTCTGCATTGAAATGGGGGAAGGGGGGATAACTGACAATGAAGTTGAACATGTCCAGAATATATCAATAAGTAAGTTTATTTCCAATATTTGATTTGAACCTAAAGTCATCCATTTCTAAATTTCCATGGCACTCCACTCGACGTGTGACTGTTGATTGATCAAAGCAAGTGTCTACCTGCGTTGTGTTGCTATCACTTTGAAAATAGCACATGCAGATTTTCATAACTTAGGCAAGTGATAAGCTTAATGAATAATTATTGGGACATTATTACGATGGTGACTTTTTTTATTTTTGTAACTTTTAAGAGAATAATATCCGCCGAATGTACTGCATCTAGGCCTAGCGTTCTGGATCCTGTACATTTCTAATCGATATATTTATACGCAGCTGTCGGCTTGTAAATTCCGTGCACAATTTCCCTACTTTGTTAGATAACGAGTTTGTACATGAAAAGGAGCATGTTTGTCACTAAAATTGAATTATAAGCATTGACTATATAGGTTATTTTGTTCATCGAGAAATGAATCATTCTCGATGAACAAAATAATCTATTTAGTCAATCCTATATTAATATTTCAGTAACAATAATAAATGTAGCACAGAAATTACCATTCTTTGAGCAGCACATATTCTTTGATAGAGGTCTTTTAAAGTTTACAAATGCAAAAATAATAATAATTAAGAAGAAAAAAAAATAAATAACTTGAGCAATTCCTACATAGTGATCATTGATATGAAGGATTTCAAGTAAATAAAAATACCTACTGTGCACAATCAAGACAGAATATTTCTCAAGATTTATCATACCCTCGTTATTTTTCTCTCTGTCCACCTCATCACTGAGAGATGACGTGGTAAGATGTAAAAGAATAATCAAAATGTTCAATATTCCACTAGGATACTGACTCATTAATATTTTCCTAAAAGGTTCCATATATAATCAGTCTGACAAGAATTCATAAGCATTACCAGAGTAAACAATTTAATTCTCGCACCTGTACTAGTAATTAAATTAGCTTACATACATGTAATATCTAAGATCAATGTTGACATTTTAAAATATTTTTGTAGTCAGCACTAAACAAGAAATGAGTTCATCTCTGTGATATACAATCCTGAGAGAACCTAAGAAGAAATTAAATGTGAAAGCAAGTTTGACTAGATATGTCAATAGAATACATTTATACAAAATAAGCAATTAAATGGAACAGCAATTAAAAAAAAGGGAGAAAATAAGATGGTCAGTTGACAAAATACGTGTTTATATATACACACACTGTGCGAGTATGTATTACCAGTTAAGATATCCATTCAGTGGATATCGGTATTTCCGATTACTTGTGATATCGGATAAACAATTTTATATATGTGCATTTGTAAACGTGAAATAATCCCAAATGATTTAATCAGTGTTTATTGAAACAATAATCTTTCTTTCGAAAAGCACTGTATATTTCTATGAAACCAGAAAAACCTAGGTTTTTTTTCTAATTTATCGTGAGAAATGGTTATATAAAGTGTAAAATAATCTTGAATAAAAATTGTAAACAATTGTAAAAAGAGGTACATGGTATACTATACTAAGATTATTACATGTATTAACCTTAAATTTCCTTGCCATGAATGACTTTGAATAAATAACTATTCTTCTATTACAGAAGGGGAGACTGGGTTTCAAAATGTATGGCACATATTTAATGAAAAATATGATATGTTGACAATATTAATGATGACGTAATATTCGCTGAAAATTCTTTGATAGGAAACATATAGCAAAATTAACGCCATTATAGAGTATTCTACTTTTGCAATACATTACACATAATTTACCTGACTTTGTATTTCGTAATAAAATAAATCTCGATCAGATGTCTCAATTAGACCAAAATTGTAAATATCTTTTGAAG